CCGACACCAAGTGGCATCATCCAACCCCTGCAGATACATGAGGTTGGTGTAAGCCATGAGGTGGTCTTCCGGATTGGTGGTACCATCATAAGTACCAACCAATACATTCTTAACCTTGGCCGGCTGGGCCACCTCGGTTATCTCCCGGGTGAATGCAGAAGGTTGTTCACCCAGGCGAAGCAGACGAAGCTGCCAGTCCAGTGGCTAGACATTTTGATATGCCGCCTGACCTCCAAAGAGAGCCGGCTGCATGAAGTGAGGGGGATACTAGCCGTAGACCTGAGTAGGTACATACGGTGCAGCTCCAATCATCTGAGGGCCAGAGTGGACGGTATTACCGCCTGTCTGACTCTCATGCAAGGAAGATGCATTCCCCGCAGAGGTATTGTTAAAGCTGTATGGAAAATTCGACGTAGAAGCTGATTCAGACAACTGTTGATTTCTCTTTCGGTTGATAATTTCCCGGGCATCAAGAGATGAATTTTTACTTCCCACCGGCTGTTGAGTCCGGCGGGTATTATTGGTATTCCTCTTAGGAAGAAGAATTTTAAACCAATCAATGGTCCCGGCTGCCTTCTCCTTTGGATGAGGAGTTGCCTGCCGATCTTTGACTGACTTCCCCTTTTCCAGAGGAGTCTTCTTGGCCGTCTGACCCCTACTTGGGCCAGCCCGGCTCTGGGTGATCAGCTCTTTAATTTCACCCTTGAAACTTGTCATGAATCTCATGAGTTCGTCTCGGGTGACAGGTGCTGATCCAGCTGCCATATGGGTTTCCCCTTCCGGCTGCCCAGGGGGTCGACTTGCACCCGCCAGGGAGGCACCCCGCTCCAGAGTCTCTCTGGGCCGTATGCGCTTGATTCTGAGAGAGCCGTCATCGGCTGTAAAGGTTTCGACCTGGGGATCTTCATCCTCCTGGTGTGTAAAGAATTCTAGGTCATCACCCAGACGGTTAGGGGGTGGAACAGACTCTTAAACCATCTTCGAGGTACTCTCCCCACAGACGGCGCCAAATGTTTTGGGTGTTTTTTGTCCCTCGGGAGAGTTACAACACGAAGACTGATCCGGCGTGAGCTGTACATGCAAAACAAACGGAGACACCGGTTGGGTGGTGCTCTGCCTCCGACGCACAAGTTAGAAACTTGAAGGGAGAGAAAAAGGTGCGGAAATTTAGGTGGGTATCTGCTCGGGTTCCAAGCTCAGATGTCTCTATCACAGAGACTGTTTGCAATAAATGGTAAAACCTGCCCTCAAAAAGAGGACATCTCCCTATTTATAGGGTCTTTGGGAATTGTGCCCCAAATTAGGTCACTGAACCCTAATCATTGGTGAGTTGCGCCGCTTTGCGGCTTTCTCGGGATTTGGGCCTGAAGGCCGCCCTTTTTTCCCTTAATTTCTGGAATGACACGTGTCAGGCATTGATTGGTCCACTTTGGGACAACCTGAAACTAACACGTGTCGTCCTCTGGTTGGACCTCGTGACGGGGTAAAATTACCCTAAACACTTAGTATTTTATTAAAATAATAATTTAATGAAAAATTTATTTAAAGAAAATTACTATATATATATATACACACACATATATGTGTGTTTGTATATATATATATATATATATATATATATATATATATATATATATATATATATATATATATATATATATATATATATATATATATATATATATATATATATATATATATATAGTGACATTCAATTAACTAATATTAAAAATATAATATTTGTATAATATAATTAAAATATACAATCTTCTACTATAAGTTTTTGTGTGCAAAATATATATTTGCTTCAAGGATACAATTAAGATCAATTGACAAAATCTAAAGAATAAAAACAAGATACTACAATATAAAAGTATGATTATTGATAAGTATATAGATATAAATTTTTTCGTCAAACTCACATCTCTCCCTTTTTTTATATTCTTCTTTCTATGGTTTTTTAGGATTTTTTTTTATTCCTATGATAAATTTTAATCTTTATTGTAAATTTTCTTTTGTTAATGATAATTTAGATAATTTATATATTATATTTTATCAATTAAATATAATATTATTCGATAATAAATAATACGGAGTAATAATAACCGTGCATAACACGGGTCTTAACCTAGTTTTAGTAATATTACTCGGTGGGAATCTGAGCTAGTAATAATAAGAAGAGAAATAGGGTTGTCAAACGGGTCGTGTCGTGTCGGGTTCGTGTTCGTGTCGATATTAAACGGGTTGAAAAACCCATGACCCAAACCTAACCCATTTATTAAACGGGTTGAAAACCCTTGACCCAAACCTAACCCGCTTATTAAACGGGTTATCCGTGTAACCTTTTACCCATATAGTATGTAATAAACTATAATATTCAATTTCAAAATTAAAATGACATACATCATTAATTCATTAATGATACTACAAGAGTTTAAAGTTAGTAATTTTAGCAAAAGTACTATAGGAATTTAAAGTTGGTTGCTTTAGCACATGCCATACATAAGAATTGTCCCAAATTAACAGCCAAATTTTAATTTACAAAAGTTGAAATCTATTTTATGTGCCAAAAATTACCTAAATGTATACATGTTGCCAAGGCAATTTACAAAATTACAAGTTTAGAATAAAATTTTTGTTTTTTTTTCCTACTAAATTACTTCCTCCATCCCTAAATTACATTTCTATTTCTAGCATTTATTCTTCACATAATAAAAATAAACAGGAATGTAATTTAGGGATGGAGGGAGTAATAGGTTAAGCGTATCGGGTTCGGGTTAGCGGGTTGTCGTTCAACCCATTTATATAATTGGGTTATGCGTGTCGGTTTTGGGTTGAAAATTTCAACCCAAAACTAACCCGTTTAATTTCGTGTCGGGTTCTTGTCGACCCAATTATGTAAACGGGTCGAGAATACTTGACTCAAACCCGCTTATTTCGTGTCGGGTTCGTGTCGGGTTATCGTGTCGTGTCCGCTTTTGACAGCCCTAAAGAGAAAGTGTATACTGTATGTTGGGCTTATTGCTATTGATGGGTTTTGGGTATGAAAGATTTATGCTTAGTATATTGGGCTTTTTTAGCCAGATGTATCAAGGTTCTAGAGCAAATATCATGTGCGTGTTACGATTTATTTTTCTTTTCTTTTTGGTGAATATGAATATATTACACATCCATTTTATTATTTGCAATTTTAGAGTATTATTTGTGAGATATAAAATATTCAAAGTTGTGAATAATCTAAACAGAAGTAGTATATTAGACTGAGTTATCTATAGGATTAGCTTAAGTCCCGTGCGACACACGAATTTTACAAAATTTTATGCTCTCTTCGTTCGAAGACAATTGACAAGCTTTACTCTTTTTTTTTTTTAATTCGACTTTGACCATATTATTTTGCTATTATATAAAATAAAATATTAATAAGTAAGTTGTTTCTGGATGTATCTTTAAGTATATTATTGGAATATCAAGTTTTTATTAAATTATGATTTTATATAAGAGCAATAAAAGATGATCAAAGTTGATAAAAAAAGTCAAGAGTCTCAATTATTCAGGGACGGAGGGAATAGTGAATAGCAACCTTTTAGTTAGTTTTGCAAACTTGCATACAACGAAAACAAAACCTACTTTTGTTTCATATTATGTACAAAATATGAATTTGCACGGATTCTATTACAAAATTTGTTTGAAAGTGTTGAATGAAGAGAAAAATTAATTTGAGTTAGAAAGAAAATATTTGTTGCACATAATGTGTAACACTTGTTTTAAGTAAATGTTGCCCCCCATTCGGTTGGATATTGTAAGCTTAATTTATATGGCACTACTACTCAGTTGGAGTTGTGCTTAGGGATTTTTTTTATGACACTGCTACACATACTTTTAGTTAGACAACGAGACAACTTGGCATTTTGGATTATTTTGACATACACGATGCTAATTAAGCAAATTTGATTTATTTATTTAGGATAAAAAAAAGTTATTGTTTTAATTTCAATAAGTAATAACAAAATATATCTTGTAAAAAAAAAGTAATAACAAAATATATCAACAGAAGAAATCAATCGTCTTTGATTTAAAAAAAAATAAAAATAAATAAAAATAAATGAGAACGCCAATACTTTGTTTAAAAATGTGTTTGGTTTCTATCTTATTCAAGCAGTGATCAGTATTTTCTAAAAGAAAAATGTGTTTGGTTCCTAAAAATACCTAAATAGTATTATGAAATCTTTAATTTGCTATCATTATTATTTTATTCTTTGAAAATAATATCATAGGAATTAGACAATTTTCATGGTTTTACTGTAATTTATTTTATAGAATTTAAGAAATCACAAGCTTTCATATGTGGCTGGTCACACTGTGTGGAACTACATTTTTTTTTTAAAAAATGATCGATGTTACTTGATCAGAGGTTACTCGGTAGGTCATGAGTTACTTAATCGGTTATCAGGAATTATTTGGTCGATTAAGGGTATCTGGTTAGGATTCGGGTAGTTATTCGTGTGTTAACTAGCCACACGGTATGGTCAGTCACACACAAAAGTTTATGTCTCAAAATTTATGCATATCATGCATTTTTTTTAAAGTAGTAAGTTGAATATTTTAATTTTTTGTTTCAAATATTAAATTATCAAAGATATTTTGATACCAAATTACTGTATATTTCAATTTTACATGATATGATTGATGTGTAATTTTAGCTTACTTTATTGCTTAAAAAAAATTATTATTAGCTTATTTTATCATAATTTATTTAAATTAACTTCGTTTTGTATTTAAACATAATTTGTATATCAATTAAAAGAAAACATAATTAGTATATATTGTGTTAACCAAACTATTATGAGAATAATATGAATGTGTCAATTTAATAACTTGTCTAATAATTTCCATTCCTCTGTAATTTGGCTCCACAAATGAACCGATGTTTGCTATATAAGCAACAAAATTAGCAACAAAATAACACAAGTGGAAAATTTATGTGCACTTACATCAAGATATTTTACAGCCATAACATTGTTTTTAATTTATTTTGTGTATGTCCCATTGTGGGCTTAGCTTCTAGTAATGAGGCATTTTCCTTTTCTTACATATACAAAAACCATTCAATTCAACCATCATAAACTCTGGAAGAAATCAAAGAAACATGTAAGGGACTTAAACAACTTATCAAAAGCTTCAAAATTGATTCAATCAGCTGCCAAGAACCCGAGTTTAGCCGTGTATGGGAAAGACTTCAATGTCAAAATTAAAGCCTAACAAAACTCCCTTAAACAGCTTGTTCTGGCTGCTGTTGCACTTGTTGCTGAGCAATGTATGGTGGTGCATTGTCTTCTTGCCAACCCCAAACTATATCCCTTAAAGCAGGTCTTAAATCGCGGTCACAAAAATCGTTGTACTCGATTGTGTCACCACTTGTTTTCTTGATCTCTAGTACATGTAACATTGGTGCTACCTCAAATATCTCAGCATCAATTTTAAGTAGCCCTTTTCTCCCTTCTTTGTTGCTCTCCAAATGCATTATTCCATCCTTCTTATGGATCTTAAACTTTTTACTTACATGAGCAAGTTGTTCGAATATTGAGACTATCATAGAGGGGGGCTTGGAGGTAGTGAATCGAGCCTCGGGTTGGTGCTTGTTTTGGTCCTTCTTGAAAAGGCCGGATAGATCAAAACCCGGTGAAAGGGAGATAATGTCAAAAGCATTTAAACATGTAGGCTTCATAGGACTTACATTTTCGGTATCTTCTACATTTTCATCTTCTTTCTTAGGAGAATTGCTTGTACTAGTGCTTCCAAAATCAATGCTATTAAAAACATTGCTAACATCCTTAGGAGTTATAGGAGAAACTTCTAGTTCATTAGGTCCATTAACATGTTTGAACCCTTTTAAAAACCAAGAATTCTCCATCAACTTGGAAACCGTTATCCTCGTGCAAGGATCCGGGTCAAGTATCTTGGATAGGAGTTTCCGGGCCTCGGAAGGGAACCAATTTGGGAACCTATAATCCCCTCTACTAACCTTCCGGTATAAGTCCATAATATTTGTTTCATGAAATGGTAAAAACCCGGCTAGTAAAACATATAACACGACCCCACATGACCATATATCGGCCTTAGCCCCATCATACCCTTGCTTATTGATCACCTCTGGCGCGACATAGGCTGGAGTACCACACGTGGTGTGTAGTAGCCCATCTTGTCTCCTTGACTCTAACAACGCACTTAACCCAAAATCAGATATCTTGAGATTACCATTCTCATCTAAAAGAAGATTTTCAGGCTTCAAATCGCGGTGGTAAACCCCACGACTATGACAAAAATCAATAGCACTAACAAGTTGTTGGAAGTAATTCCTGGCCTGATCTTCCTGTAACCTTCCTTTCGAAACCGTGTTAAAAAGCTCACCACCCTTGACATATTCCATAGCAAAATAGATTTTAGTTTTGCTTGCCATAACTTCATAGAGTTGCACAATATTAGGGTGTTGAACGAGCCTCATTACCGAAATCTCTCGTTTGATTTGGTTGATCATTCCAACCCTTGAGACTTTTTCTTTGTCCACAATTTTTATGGCTACGCTTTGGCCTGAGATAATGTGCCTAGCATAGTAAACTTTAGCGAAATTTCCTTGCCCTAGCAACCGCCCTAACTCGTATTTATTGAACAAAATTGTTCCTTTCTTCTCCATTTCTTTCATAGGATGTTATGATCAAACACCTTAAGATTTTTTTTTTTTTTGGTAGGGTGTGATTGTCAAAGGGAGTTATGATTGTTGGACGTAATTTGGAAATCGAATTCATCCATTTTGTTCATGGTTGTAGGAAAAGAGATAAAGAAAACGCGATAAGCTAAGAAGGCAAGGGAAGGGCAATGAAGAAAGGAAATTCAATCAAATTTTTCCCTACAAGAGAGAAAGAGTTGTAACTTGAGTTTGTTTATCACAGAAAAGATTTCTAAATTAGTGGATGATAAAACCGCGGATTATAGTCAAAATAAGACCGTTCTTTTTGTGTATTATTACTTGGATAATAATACTCTATTTATGGTAGTAATTTGTGGCTATTAATTAGGATGTTTTAATTGGAATAGTATATTGATTGCTTTGGAATTTTTATCTTTTTTCTTAAAAACTTTTGATAAGAAATGTGATGCTAGTTCAATTTATTTATCTATTTTATTTTATTTGAGGGGAATTTATTTTTTTATTTGATCAAATTATACTAGTTCAATTCTTTGGTTACTCTCCAATTTTTATTTATTGATTTATGATATTTACCTTTAGTATTTACCCTCCAAGAATTTTGGGGAATATTCTGCTAAAGTTTTGTAGAAAATGCAAACTTTGAATAAAAAACGCTAAAATCCTATTATAACTTATGGTTTGGTCTTATTGAATGTTGATTTAGTGGACTAATCTAAGGAAGAATTGATTGAGATCGTGCTTCGTGCATAATGGTTAACATGATTCTAGATAAATAATGTTTTGTGATGTTGCATTAAAATTAACGATCGAAATTACATACTTGAAAACTCAATTATCTTATATGAAGAATTATAATGTGTAGATTGTGTACTACATCAGAATGATCCGATCCATTTCAAAAATGCTAGCTCAAGAATAAAAAAAAAAAAAAAAAAAAAAAGTTTATGCAATTGTGGGTGGTGTTATAAAAAGGAGTGAGAATGTAAAAAAATGCAAAGACAGATAACTTTAAATTGGTAATGACCTTAATTGTATTTTAATGTGTAATTTATAATAAATACATACATGCTATAAAGGCTAATATGATTAATTTAATACATTATCAGTGTTTTTTAGGGTTAACTTTTAAGATAAGCAAATGGTATATAAGGGTAACTGTAATAACTTTTAGGGTAACATAACCCCGTAACCTTAATGAAACACCGCCTTAGGCAAGAATTTGTGAAAAAAATGATGTGTGGGCTATAGGTTTACTAATTAAAGTATTAACTTATGCTTTGCACGGGATACATTATATGCAAAAGAAAACTATCTAAAATGAAATGTTGATGGTTATTGGTATCCCTTGAAAAAAAATACAAAAAAATAAAATTAAAAAATAGTGGGATGGGTAGGGTAATTATTAGTGTTTATATATATATATATATATATATATATATATATATATATATATATATATATATATATAATAGGGGGAGGCTCTCGTGAGAATTTTTCTTATGTGAGAATTTTTTTATGTGAGAACACTTTTATGCTCTAAATTTTTACTCGTATGTTCTAAACTTTTTCCAAGTGTTCTAAATTAAATCAGATGTTCTAAATTAGTACTCACATGTTCTAAACCATAAATTAGTTAAGTTAGATGTTATAAATTTCGAATGACTTATTCCAAAATTTTAACTTATATGTTCTAAATTTTAAAACGTGCGTGCTTGTGTTCTAAGATTTTTAGTTATATGTTCTAAATTCGAAAGCATATGTTCCAATTTTTACTCGCATGTTCTATATTTTTTACATATATGTTCAATATTTTTACTCCCATTTTCTATATTTTATACCAAGTGTTCTAAATTTTTTATTCACACGTTCTAAATTTTAAATCAGATGTTCTAAATTTTAATCATATGTTCAAAATTTCATAAAACAAATTTTTTAAATTTTTACTCACATATTCTAATTCTTGAATCAGATGTTCTAAATTATTGCTCAAACACATGTTCAAAATTATTATTCATATGTTCTAAATTATTAGTCATGTGTTCTTATTTAAATTTGAGTCGCATGTTCTAAATTTTTAATCGTATGTTCTAAATTTTTACTCACGTGTTCTAAATTATAGATTAGTTCTCATATAAGTATGAATTCTCACATATGAACTTATTCTATATATAATTTTGATCAATAGAATTTGAGGATTGTGAACTTGGGAGATTGTGGTTAAGTGACTCTGCAATTATATAAAAGAAGTACACTTACAAAAATAGGAGATAAAATTAAAGTTATTTAAAAAATTATGAATTAACTACTTGATAGCAGCATATTTGTAATAGAAATCACATTTAAAATTAAAATTTAGATTGATAAGTTGTAGTGCATTATTAGTTACGTGCTTATAAGTGATAGAACATGATATTTTTGTAGGTCATATTTCAACTATAAGTTTACAAGGCCATGAGAATTTTGTACGCTGACTTCTATTATATATAAGCCATATAAGTCTATAAGGCCATGTTTGGTACGTACATGACATTGTTTTTAAGACCTCGTCTATATAAGATTGCTAGGTAGCTATTAGGAAAAATATGACAGTATCTCTATAATATATTATTTGTGATGCAAGATATATTTTCTAGCTTATCTGATCTTAGGAAAAGATAATTAGTTTCCTAGTATGATTATATTTGCTAAATCTCTTCCTTTGTTGCTCAAGGAGAGTAATTGTATAAATATTTGTGATCTTGAAATAATATGATCAAGTGATTCAGTTTCAATCTTAACATGGTATCGGAGCCACTAATTCTCACAGAATTTTTTTTTAACAACCACCGTACAGCATGGCCGGCGATGACAGCCCACCGCCACCACCACCACCACCTAAAATTGAGCCTAACTCCCCCAATTACCTAGGACCTCAAGATCTAGCGTAACTTGTAGTTACTTTGTTACTTTAGCATGTAAAACACGAATAAAGACATAAGTATTAGATTTGTCAATGATGCAAATTATAACAACTTTAATATAAGTACAAAATTATCATAGGTTTAAAATTTCTCAATCAACTAATCTAATCGGTTCTATATTTGAAATTAGTGGATTTTAACTCAATTAACTCAGTAAAAGTACTCTTTTACCAAACAACCAAAATAGTTGTTTTGTATAGTTAAACTATCTAATTCGGTCAGATAAGTTTATTTTTTTATCGAAACTCTTTTTATCTAATTTAACAAGGTCGTCTTTTGTTTCATTTTAGTTGTTACGTTTTTGTAACAATGTTTGCCAATACATGATTTTAAAATCAATTGTTTTAATTATTATTAAGAAAATGTTACTACTCAATTTTCTTACTCCCTCATCTCATAGTCCTCACATACACCTAATTTGTTTATATACATGAAATATACGTGCAATATATGTGCAGTATATATAGATACATTCAATTTATCAAATAGAAACTCTATACAAAAAAAGTTTATATTTCAAAAATAAAATGGTAAAAAATCTTACAAGATACATGACTAATTTATGTTTCTAGGTATAAAGCACAAATTAAATAAATTTTCAAAAATTATTGATTGTTCAAATAAAAAATGTTTAGACTAATATAATATAAAAGAAATATATTAGCTCCATTTTTTATTATATGTACGTGCTACGTAACAAAAGAATATTTAATTTGTCTCACAAATAATACCCTTGTGTAGTAATTAATAAAGAACAGATATAATATAAAACCTTGTTAGGTTGTACTGTCCGGTAATTAAAGCAGTCTGTTTTTTATAAGTAAGTCCTAACCGTTTGACGGGCATGCAACATGATATTTATTCTTGCCAGCTACATCTTAGTTGGCAAATCACATAATTTACTGATAAAATGTTACAAGTAACCTGACTTTAGTGGGTTTCATACTTCATCACTTGCAACTTATGAGATAGAAACTTTCTTGGTAAGACCACATATAAAAAAATTATTTTCCTCTTTAATAAATTTGTTTGTTTTATACTTTGTGCAATTTACTTACTCTACATGCATTCTCTGACTATTTCTGATGATTACCAATTAAGTATAATTTATCATGTGAAAAGTTATTATAAGATTAGATTAGTGTACAATATAATGTCCTTTTAAAATTTTTAAATAAGGCAAAAATATCACCTCAAATGAAAAACAATATAATCACACATGTAAACATCCACTTCTATGTGTACCAAAATACATATAAAAATATGTCTATAACTATCTCCTCCCTATATACATAAACATTAAATTAATAATTAAAATCTAGACAAATAAATTATTATATATTTTTTTAAAAAAAATTGTAATAAGGGAGAGGTGATTTTATTAAATAAAAATGGATTATTCAACACATACAATCAAGAAATTATTAATTTATAAAATAAAAGAGATACATTATTCTATTGTTGGGATGCTAGATTATAACAAAAAATCATAGTCAATTTGGGTCTTGTTAAATTTATCTAGACAAATATATATTTTAAATACAAAATCTTAAAAAGACTCAATTCACATTAATTTATTTTAGACCACTAATATTTGGGATATTATGGTCATTTTATTAATAAAAAAAATTAATATGTAAAAAGAAAGGTTAATATGTTAAAATAAAATTCATAATTATTATCATTGTAAAGGTCATAAAGGATTTTTTTTTTTTATAAAAGTTTTAATATACTTCTCGTCAATATATAATAAACGTTGCTATATTAAATTTAGGGTCACTATGTTTAATGTAACGTCTGACACTCTGACATGTATATAATTCAGGTTCACAATAATATATATTTAAGGTCACACATGAAAGTTTTAATAAAGGTTATTGTGTTAAAATTAGGGTTACTATGCTCAACATAACGACAATTGCATGCATATGAACATCAAGTTCACAACAATATATATTATTGTAAACTAGGTTTTTTACACATGCAAATCTTTTCCATTTTTAAAATATTAACTTTTGATAATAATCATTCTAATCACACAGCTAAAAATATCAATTGTCATGTTTTTAGGAGAGTGGTGTAGATGAGAGTAATTCTTCGTACGTATGTAGTAGTTAGCAAGAGTATAAACACTTGGCAAATTTAAGAACCTTTTTCATAGTTCTCACTTTTCATGCATGAAACAAATTAACTTTCTCATGCATGAAATAGTAGAGTGTAGAGATATAAAATAAACAAGGGCCTAAGTGGTTTCGAATATAGTATATTACAGAGTATTTGGTATAATACATAAAGTGTTTTGATTATTGTTTTTTGTACCATTCATGTCACATTCATGTCTTTAGTTAACAATGTTTAAACAAAAAACAAAAATAATCAATATTAAGATACACTAAGAGTCTAAGACTAATCCATTTTTTAAGCAATATTATCTGTCTTTATAATTAGATAAAAAAAATGATAAAACCCTTGTTTAAAGTAAGCGTATATATGTAGTTAAACCAAAAGGCTAAATAAATATGGACTTGAAATAAAGAGATAGTAAAAGTAATACAAATTCAAACTAGATACTTATATAACACTAATTTTATTGAGTTTATTCCAACACTAATACCACAAGGACCGGAAATAGCATTACAATCAACGAGAAACTTAGCTTCTAGCTGTTTTTGCTTATTATGATCCAAATTTAAGGACCAATACTTAACTAGATGAAAATTAGTACTAGCTAGAACATTAAAACTATATTAACCTGATTCTTAATTAATTAGTTCAACTTAAAAATTCTTATACACGCCCCAGTACAAAAGCACACTCAAGGTTATTTTGCACCTTGCACCAGGGTGTATATAAGAACTCCTCGGTTAAACGAGAGCAATGAGGTTAACATTTTCAATATTATCAATAGTATTAGTAGTATCACCATTATTATTAGCAGTAGTAGGAGTAGCAGTAGGAGTATCATTACTAGTAGTATCATTAGTAGTTTTATTATTAGCAGTATCATTAGCAGCCTTTTGTTTGCCCCATTTCCTAATTTGAATTTGAAGCATAGCAAAAACAGCCAAAAAATCAACCCTTTGCCTTGGAGTAAGAACATCCAAAATCCCCTTCAAAGTTTTAAGCCTAACATAATCAGCCATCTTCAGAACCTTCTCCATCCCATCCATCAACCCTTTCATAGCCACACTCACCATATCCTCAACTCGGCTCGACTCGTTAAAATCCTTCCGGCTCGACATCTTCGCCAACCCCACCATCTTCAAATCACAAATAGCCATCTGCAGCCTCTCCAAATCCATCTCCACCTTCTGCTCCTCATGCTTAATCCTCGTCCCGAGCGCCGCAACACTGCTAGCCTGCTCATCAGTGAGCAGGCTGAGGCTAGTGAGCGGTGCCCGGGTCTTACGGAGTGACTCGACAAGGCGAAACGCGGTCGAGGGTTTCCACCCGGTAACCCAGGTGAAAGCCGCCTCGAGTGGGCTAGCCCACTGAGGCGAAAAGAAAGACAACACATCATCCCTAGCTGCGGCCCACTTGGCCGCATAGAACTCTTTGTGGTGAGTTATCAAGGTCGCCACCACGACGTCGTAATTCGGGTGGCGGCCTAAAACAAGCTGCTGAAGATGAATTTCGAGTTGCTTGAGCCAACTCTCATAGTAAGCACAGAATTTCTCTTCTACTATAGAAGTAGTAGAAATAGCAGCAGGATATTTCAATGGCAAAATTAAATTAGTATTCATTATATAATAATATGATATTTTTATTTGATATTGATTTTGAGGGTAATTTGGAGAGAGAAAAAAGAGATGGGGTATAAATAGGAGGTGGGAGGTGAGAGTACTGTAGTGCATGGCTTACGCGCAGCATGCTATGAGCCGTCTAGTTTTAAAAGGGTGACAGGTGGCTTCTTCTGTGTCGTAATTTGCACCAATTATAAAAATACTTGTACTAAACTATTCACCAATGTATTTGTATCAGGAGTTGTTACATATTCAAAACTTACCAACATACTGGTATTAAAATGTTGGCTCACTTGTTAAGGTTTTTACCTTATGTCTTAGAGATTTGAGGTTTAAATTCTACTAAGTGATGATATTTGGGGTAGAGATTCTATTAACCCCCACTCTAGTTTTACGTGTCTGGCCTACAAATATTAAATTAAAAAAATCGTGATAATTAAGGTCTAATCAGAGTCCTACTCAGTACCAATTAAAAAAAAACATTCAAAACTCATGTTTCTTCTACTTTTGTATTAGGACATTTAGGAGTTGTAACATAAAAACTCATGTTTGGTTCCACACTCAACCACCCAATTTCCAGTTATGTAATTCATTCCATTCTTTCTTAATCACAACATTTTTCTAATTACTCCCCCCGTCACAAAATAACTGACACATTGTACATTTTTTCACTAGCTATTTAAATACTCCCTCCGTTTTTAAATATTTGCTCAATTTCTCTATGCGCGGAGTTTTAGGATAAATTAGAGAAAGTAATAAAATAGAGAGGTAGTGGGGTAGTTGTGAAAATAAAAAATTGTAAAAAGCAAAAGTAGTGAAGAATAGGAGGAGAGGGAGTATTATGTTGGGTCCACTAAGTGTGAGAAATGAATTAAATATTGTAAGAGGTTTCCAAAAAAGGAAATGCAGCAAGTATTTAAAAACGGTCGAAAAAGGAAAGTGGAGCAAGTATTTAAAAACGGAGGGAGTATTAAGATTGACTATAGTTTTGTAGTAGCCAAAATACCACCAATTATGGCAAGCTCGGATTCGCCTCCTTCAATTAAATCAGTTGTCAGAATTTTTCATTTAAGACATGCATCGCACCTTACATCATAGTTGGTGGTGTTTTGGCTACTAAGCAAAGTTCAAGGTACTCAATGCACCTAAGTCATACTTCAAGGTGTTGTGACCAATTTTGCCAAAATTTAATATCAATTTCTTATTAAATGTTTTGGTCAAATTTTAATTGGGTTTTTAAAATTTTAGGAGCAAAAAAAGGAAAAAAAATAAGTCAAGCTCAAGCTCAAGCTAAGTTTTATTCAATTATGGATTCAAAACTTTGAGGTCCAATACTACATTTGCTTCAATTTACTTGCACTACGCCGGCTCCCGCATCCCTCCCTTAAACCACCATACCCGATTCGACTTCCCCCTCCCTCTTCGTTTAAAACACCTTCCCTACTAAACCTTCCACCTTTGCCGAAAGGAAAAATTGCCATCTATCATTAATCCCAACTTTGTTTCGTTCGCTGTTATTAATCCCAACTTTGTTTTGCTCGCTGTCATTAATCCCAACTTTTTTTTATTTTCTATCACTCTCAACTTATACCCTATTAATTTTTATCACCCCAAAGTGACTTGAAACCGATTAAAGAGGTAAACCTTGCTAACTTGGGATTACTTGTACACATGTCGCAACCTGATTGGTTAAAAAGTAAAAAAAAATGTTAAAACCTAACTAACCGAGCTACCCCACCACTACCACCGGCAGCGCAGCCCAGCCCAGCCCCTGACCCACCTCCACGCACGGAGCACCCTCTACCTAATACCCCACAAGTACAGGGAAACCTACCCCGGCTCTAAACGACCGTTCCCCCACCAAAAAAACAACCGCCTCTCCCCAAAAATGACCACTAAAAGGCCACAAACAGCCGAATCGACCGGATTTGGGGCTGAATGGTTGATTTCAACCCGAATCGGTCGATTATTTCAACCGTTAATGGGCACTATCATGGTCGTTTTATGGAAAAGGGTGTTGTTTTGGGTTGCGGTGTTTGTGGCTGGAAATGGGTTATGATGTTCGTGGCCGGGGAAAGGGGATGGGTCATCGCCACCACCAAAGGCAGCAGCAGTCGCCGCAACAACCGTGACATCAGATCCAGCAGCTAGCAACAAGAGCAGTGGTTGTAGTAACCGCCACCACTACCGGCAGCAGAAGGAGTGGGCGAGTGGTGGTCAGAAATAGGGGAGGGGGGAAGGGAAGGGGGATGGAGGAGGTAGGGGATGCCACCTAATGGGTAAGGTATAGGATTTTAATTTTTTTAAAAAATTTTTTGGACCTATCACGTGTTGATATGTGTCTGGTAACTTGCTATTACAAGTTGGCTGACCGATTGGGAGTGATAAAAATTAATAGGGTATAAAGTTGAGAGTGATAGAAAATAAATAAAAGTTGGGATTAATAACAGCGGACGGATCAAAGTTGGGATTAATGGTTGCAATTTTTCCTTGTCGAAAACCACATGTCAAAATCCCTTTTCCGCCAGCCCACTTTACTTGAAAACAACCACCTCAAAACCTTAAAACCAAAAACCCGGGGCTTGTTTGCCATCGTTTTTAGTTTTTATTTTTTTGAAAACAATCCAAAAAACCAAAAAAAGGAAACAAGAAAAAGATATTTCGTCTTTTCTTTTGTCAATTTTCAAAATTATCATGATTTTAATAACTTTGACTAATTTTTGTAGAGGTGTCAATTTGGAAAATCGAATGTAGTTTGGGTCGGGTTTATTCGGGTCGGGTCTGTTCGGATCGGATATATTCAGGTCAAAATAATTCTTTTAACTCGGATCGGGTCGGGTCGAGTCAAATTCGGGTCTAATCAAATTTGGGTCATGGTCAATCGATTCCAGGTCGGATATGGGTTGGTGAATTCCAGATCGATTTACTTTCGGTTCGGATAAATTCGGATCCGATTCAAAACGGGTTTATCCGGGTTATTTCGGGTCGGATGGATTTAGGTCGGGTTATTCGGTTCGGATGATTTCTCTTTGGTCAAGTTCGGTTTGATTAAGAGAAGGTTGATCCGTTGATTCATTAATTGGTCAGTTTCGATTCAATTCCTTTCTGCGTTTGGCTGGATTTTGGTCGAGTTGACCAAATTCATATATATCCAAATAAGGTTATTTTTAAACTAGAGGTATTATTGAGTTTTTACCTTATCATTGGGTTAATATCAAGTCGTATCATATATTTTTATCGTTTGATTATTAATTACGAATTACGAAGTTTTAGTTTCTCATTTGATCAAGTTATGTGTAATTTTATCTTTGAGGCAAATTGAAATTGAATAATTATCGATGACTTATCATGCCTATATAAGTGAAACGATAGATAATGAGATAGTGATATATTGACAAATGACAGTTAAATATGGTAGTATATAGTATACAAATAAGAATGTCATCTTTTTCAGGTTATTATAAATCTTCAATAGTACAATCTTCAATGTCATCTTTCAGATGAGACGAATGTAAAGTTTAGAAAGTAATTTTATATAATTGGTATGTACATGAAGTAAACTTGTTACTCCTGATTATTTATTTGTAGTAAAATAAGTTAACTTATTAATAATTAGTGAACATAGTAGTATAAGAGCTGGAATAAAATCCCTCAAAAAAAAAAAAAAAAAAAAGCTGGAATAAAAAAAGTCGATAATTAATTATGGTCGGGTTAAATTCGGATCAGGTAAAAATCAAATCGAGTTACAACCGGGTCGGGTTGATATCAGTTCGGGTCAAAACAAATGGGATTAGATCGGTTATTTTTTGGGTCAATTTCGGATCGGGTTGAGCTCGGGTCGGGTCAAATCGGATTCGAGTTGTGTTCAGTTTGGATCAAATCGGTGCCGATTTAAGTTCAGATCGGGTCAAGTTCGGATTCGAGTCGAGTTCAGTTCGGTTACAGATCGGGTTTGGGTCTTGATTTTCTCGAAACAAATCGGATCGGTTACAGTTCGAAACGAATAGTTTTTTTCGGGTCGGTTCGGTTTTGACACCTCTAAATTTTTTATTCATTATATGACATATATAATATTATTATTTTTTTAAAAAATAAAAACCAAAAAAGAAAATCACAATAATGCTAAACGAAGATTTTGGTTTTAGGGTTTCCAGGTGGTGATTCAGGGGGAAGAGGGTGGAGATGGCAGAAGGGGAGACAAATAAAGTTTATCGGCGCGAGAAAGGGGGTTTGGGTGGCCGGCGGATCGAGAAGGATGGTTTTTTAGGGGAGGAAGGAGGTTTTAGGGTGAGAGGAGGGTGGTTCAAGGGAAGGGGAAGGACGTCGACGAGAAGGTCAGGGTTGGGCTGGTGTTGGCACAAGGTTCAAGGCGGGAAGTGTTGGGGTGGGGTGTTTGGGGGTTGGAGTTATGGTGGTTGGGTGGTCTGCAATGTGTTGGTGGGTGAGTTTTTTTTTTATAAATAATTTATTTTTAAAAAATTAAGATTATTTTAACAAGAACCAATCATATGTTGTCATGTGGCATAATTAGTATTAATAACTAACGAAGTTAATGTTAGTTATTAGTCATATGGCCATTATTGACATTTTTTGTTAAACTCGGTGATATATGGTGAATTTGAAAATTTTGATGGGTATACAGTGAATAAAGTGAAAACTCAAGGGTATATGGTAAAAAAAATCGTAAATTTTTTTTAAAAAAAAAACGTAAGGAAAAATTACATTAATTGACATCAAATTTGTGAAGTTTTGCAATTATTGACATCAACTTATATCACTTGCTAAATTGACACCAACTTACTACAAAATTGACGTAAATGACACTCAACAAATAATTTTATGAAACTTTTAACATTTATACAAGTATAAAATTCCTTTTCAACAATCACTCTTTCAAAAAAATCTTAATGTGTTGGAACGATAAGACTATATAGATGTCATATGTAGAGTATTAATGAAATTTTAGTGCCTTTAATGTCAATTTTATTCTTTTTTGAGAA